ATTGACCCTCCAACAATGCGGCGCTCCCTCAGCACTGACCCTCCGACAGTGCGGCTCTCCCTCAGCACTGACCCTCCGACAGTGCAGCACCCCCTCAGCACTGACCCTCCGACAGTGCGGCACTCCCTCAGCACTGAGCCTCCGACAGTGCGGCACTCCCTCAGTACTGACCCTCTGACAGTGTGGCACTCCCCCAGAATTGACCCTCCGACAATGCGGCGCTCCCTCAGCACTGACCCTCCGACAGTGCGGCTCTCCCTCAGCACTGACCCTCCGACAGTGCGGCGCTCCCTCAGCACTGACCCTCCGACAGTGCGGCGCTCCCTCAGCACTGACCCTCCGACAGTGCGGCTCTCCCTCAGCACTGACCCTCTGACAGTGCGGCACTCCCTCAGCCCTGACCCTCCGACAGTGCGGCACTCCCTCATCACTGACCCAAGTACATACGTGAGGTATGATCGGGCTGTATAGCTTGCAAAACAATACTTGCCCTGTATCTGAGTAAGTGTGAGACAACAGTGAAATCAAATGAAGTCAAATCGAATATTTGTGCCCCCGTGTAGGTGCTGCCTATTTCTTTAAGGGGAAGGATTACTGGAAAGTGACATGCAGGGACATGCAAGTGGACCCTGGGTACCCAAAATCCGTGGCCAAGGATTGGCTGGTGTGCAGCGAGATGCAGGCGGACTCATCGATTTCAGAGCACGCCCGTTCCAGAGCCCGAATGGGGCGCGGTCATCATGGTGATGGCAGGTCAGGAGACGAGAAAAGGAATTGCTCCTGCATGTCCAAGGCTGGGATCGTGTTGAGCTGGAGCCTGACGCTGGTTATTAGTTTTGTGATGTTAACCCGGCTGGGATTGGATTAACGCACATCGCCAACTTCGACAGCGCCAACTTCATGAGGCAGCAATGACTGTGCCGAAGCCAGTCATCGCTGGCTTGCCAGGAAGGGGCTCGGCGATGACCCAGCCTCCATTTACAAAAACAGAATTCTGTGCCAAGTCCAACTGAAACTTTTCACACTGCGTGGATTCACAGTGAATCAACATTTTTTTAAAAAAAGAAAATGGAGGAATTTCATGGCGAGTCTTCTTTATCATTGAGGAAAGTTCAAACAATTTATTTTTTTAACACAAAAAACAGAGCAGTTGTGAGGATCTTTGTTTGGCTGTGATTAAGAAGAGTTTACTGGCATTTGTTTTATCAGTATTATGAAATCAGGTGTTTATCATTATTATTCGTATTTATTTCAAAACATTTTCATTCACTAAAGAACTTTTTTTTTTGACACTTGAAGCTGTTTTAACTAATGTTGATTGCATTGGATACTGAAGGTAGATGATGTACTCTCTCCCAGAGCTGACCCAGAACTGCCTGAATGCTGTGGTGAGATTTCACTAACAAGCAATGTTGATCAATCCTAACTGACACCTCGACCCATTTGCTCCCTCTATGCTCACTAACCTACATTAGCTCCAGCCCAGTAATGCCTCCATTTTAAATCAGAAGAACAAAAGAAATAGAAGCAGGTGGGTTATTCTGGATATGTGGGAACAGAAACAGGTATTTAGCCCAACCAGTCCTTGCCAATGTTTAACTCTGCTTGAGCACCCTCTCATTGTTCCTCATCTAAAATCCATCATCTCAGCTTGTCCAGCTTCCCCTTAAATGCATCCATTTGCTTTAATTACTCCTCCATTTCTCCGTTAACCACAGTGCTTGCTACGTCATCAAAAAACTCCAACAAATTTCATAGAGTCTCCTTCATAGAATCCCTACAGTGTGGAAACAGGCCCTTCGGCCCAAGTAGTCCACACTGACCCTCAGAGCATCCCGCCCAGACCCATCCCCCCCATGGCACACCCAATCTACATATCCCTGGACACTATGGGCAATTTCCCACGGCCAATCCACCCTAACCTGCACATCTTTGGACTGTGGGAGGAAACTGGAGCACCTGGAACAAACCCACACAAACACGGGGAGAATGTGCAAACTCCACACAGACAGTTGCCCGAGGGTGGGATTGAACCTGGGTCCCTGGCGCTGTGAGATAGCAGTGCTAACCACAGAGCCATGGATTTCCCTTTCATGAAAGCACGTTGACTCTGCCTAATTATATTACCATTTTCAAAATGTCCTGTTTCCTTAATAATGGAGTCAAGCATTCACTCAATGGCAGATGTTAGGCAAACTGGTCTATAGTTCTCTGCTGTTTGTCTCCACCCTTTATTGAAAAGAGTTGTTATATTTACAGTTTTCCAATCCACTGGGTCCTTTTCAGAATCTAGAGACCCTTGGAAGATTATAACCAATGAATTCACAATCTATGTAATTACTTTGTTTAAGAACCTAGGATGCACATCATCTTATTGAGGGAACCTGTCAACTTTCAGTCCTATGAAGATCCTGATACTATTTTGCTGGTGATAATGGTTATTTCAGGTTTTTTGCTCTTCGTCCCCCTAACTTTCTGCTGCTGATGGAATATATTTAGTGTCTTGTTCACAGTCTGTGTCATTTTTGTGCTTCCCAATATTGATTCCTTTCATCCTTAGTGCCTAACACTTACTTTGGATGGTCTCTTTCTTATATACAGTAGAAGTTCTTATTGTCTGTTTCTTTATTTCTTGCTAATTTACTCTCATAATCTAATGTCCCCTCTTTATTTTTAGTTATCCGTTGCTGGTTTCTGAAGTAATCCCAATCTTCTGGCCTACCAGTATTCTTCACAACACTGATGTTTTTTCTGTCAATTTGATGCCATTTTCAACTTGTGGAGGTGATGGCCTAGTGGTATTGTCACTGGATTATTGATTTTAGAAACCCAGGTAATATTCTGGGGACCGTGGTTCAAATCCCACCATGGTGGAATTTGAATTCAATAAAGTCATTCGGAATTAAGAGTTTAATGATGACCATGAATCCATTGTCAATTGTTGGAAAAACTCATCTGCTTCACCAATGCCCTTTAGGGAGGGAAATCTGCTGTCCTTATGAGTCTGACCAACATGTGACTCCTGCCCTACAACAATGTGATTGGCTTTTAACTGCCCTCTGGGTGTTTAGGGATGGGCTATAAATGGCTGGCCTAGTCAGCAACGCCCTCATCCTGTGAATGAATTAAAAAACTTCTCAGTGAAGGAAGTTATAATAGTCTGTGATAATTGGTCACTGCTCCTTCTTCCAAATGTCCAATAGGAAAGAATTGAGAGTCTGAAACTGATTCTAAAGAAGTTTTTTTACTGAAATTAATTCTCAGGTTGTGTGTGTTGGACACTTCATCGCCCACTAGTTCTAGCTGACTTGACACTGTCTCCTTGACCCATGGTAGTCCATCCTATTGCTCTATCTGATGTTATTCTTTGTCACAGTTTGATATTGGCTAGGAGGCAGCTCAAGTGTCAATCAAACTGGTGTGAGACTGGAGTCACGTGTGGGCTAAGAACAGGAGGCAAAGGATGCAGGTGAAACAGTTAGGACTTTGAAAAGGTGTGGCAGTGAGGAAGATGGTATTACATTACAGGAGGATGTAGAGGGGCTGATCAGTAGCAAATGGAATTTAACCCTGATAAGTATGAGATGATGCACTTTGGAAGAAGTAACAAGACAAGGGAGTACTCACTTATTGACTAGGAAGCTGAGAGGAACAGAGGAATCTGGGTGTATTTTCCCACAGAGGTCTGAAGGTGGCAAAGTGGGTTAATAAGGTAGTTCAGAAGGCAAATGGAATGCTTATGGTGTAGCCATGGTGTAGATTATAAGAGCAGGGAGGTTATGTTGGAGGACATAGACAGGATATGGGTTAGGTCACAGTTAGAGTACTGTATGCAGTTCTGGTCTCCACACGAGAGGAAGGATGTTGAATTGAATTAGCTTTATTGTCCCATGTACTCAAATGAATACAGTGAAACGTTCACAGTGATTGCATTACAACACCACAAAGGTACCTCGGTACAGATACGTAAGATCAAATTCTTAGGAAACAAAAAAAAATTAGAAAAGTAAAGAAATAAATAGTCCAGCATTAGTGGTCATAGGAATAAATTAGAAAAGTGAAGAAGTAAAAAGTTGAGAATATCAGTCTTTCTGACCCAGTCCATGCCAGCTCCTAGCTTCAAGGGAGACCCCCACCGCCTCACTGCCTCCTGCACCGGACCCACCAACGTAGGATTTGCCCCACTTTAGGCACTATCTCTTTGCCCCTGGGCCCAGTTCACTGTCACCGCTGAGTCCGCACTCGCCCCACACCCAGGAATCCCTGGCTCTGCCGCCAGGCCAGGCCACCGGGGCCATGGGTCCCATTTCAGACGCAGATGCTGCTTCGCCAGCGCTGCCATCTTGAAGAGTCCATTGCTGTGGGCGCTGCCATCCGCCCGCCCCCCGATCACTGGAGGGGCTTTCCTGCCTCTGGCCCCGAACATCGGGAGAGCGACCTCGCTGCCCAGGCACAGGGCCTGGGACGTCAGGAGAGTGACCTCGCTGCCCAGGCACAGGGCCTGGAATGTCAGGAGAGTGACCTCGCTGCCCAGGCACAGGGCCTGAAACGTCGGGAGAATGACCTCGCTGCTGCTGCCACAGGGCCTGGAATATCGGGAGAGTGACCTTGCTGCCCAGGCACAGGGCCTGGAACGTCGGG